ATACCTCTCTCTTCCTCTCTCTCTCTCTCTCTCTCTCTCTCTCTCTCTCCCAATCCCCACGAATCACCACAAACATATAATCATTTTAATGATATAGCTTCAGTCAAGAACAAAGTTTTAGGTTCTCTATGTTCTTGGTTAAGTGTACAAAGAGCTTTTATTGGTGTTTAGTTTTTTATCTTTTTTGCAAGTTGGACCTTTTTTTAACTGATCTCTCAGATCTTTTTGTAAATTCCCAATGTACAGGTTCTCATAGTACATGGACTGATGTATTTGGCTTTCTTTTTTGCTATACAATACTTTACCTTCAAAAAGAATTAAATGATTATAAGCTTCCACAGCCCATGAAGCAGTCCCTTGAAGTTTTGAAAATGGGCCCTGTAAATTTGTCGTAGCATACATAAGTAATTGGAATCACCTATTCCTGATGCCTGTTTGGTTCAGTCGGGAATCGGAGTCAGATTCCAATTGTTGCTTTACCCCAAATATATGGGGTCAACTGCATGAATCCTGTTTCACCATTCTGTTTTGTCCATGTCATATCCATTATTAATCTATGGGACCTTAACTCATCTATCATTACTTCAACCAATGTCCTTTTCAGTCTGCCCCTAGCTTTTCTATCTCTTTCAACTTGTAATGGATCAGTTCTTCCTACAAGTGCTGTAGATGGTCTTTTTTTGCATCGTGACTAGACCATCTTAGTCTATTTTCCCCATTCTATCACTTTTTTTTTTTTGAAAAGCAGGAAAAAAGCTGCTCCTACATTCTTTTGAGTAAGTTCATTTTTATCCTATCTTTCTAGTTTTCCCACTCATCCATCTCAACATTCACATGTCTATCATGCTCATTCATTTCCAACAACAATGTTGTATGGAACAGTCTACCATGCTCATCCATCTCAACACACCAAAACATTGTTGTTGGCCTTTCAACCATTTTATAAAGTTTTCCTTTTTGCCTGTAAGTAGTATTCTCCCATCACATGAGACTCTGGATGCACCCCTTCGTGCATGATCCCTTGGCCTATCATATCCATTTATCCTTTTGGATCCCATTAATTTCAAACCATGCTTATTCTGGGAATTGTCTATAGACCTTGGTTGTCTTCAGAAAAAGATAAATAATAATGCATAATACGGTGTTTTATGCAGTGCTAAATAGTTGGGAAGAAGATTAAGAAAGTGCAGCTGGTTGTACCATATTAGTGTAGGATATGTTACGTAGTAGTATTTACCATTTTGTAAGTATTTTAATTTTTTTCTTTATTTTCTGTTTAGCCCCTCTCTGGGTGTATTTTAGCCATTTTTCATAACTTCATTAGTTATAAATAGATAAGGAAACAGAGCAGTCAACAATTTTGACTACCCAATACATAGATACATTTTCTATTTTGTTCTCTCTTTCTTACATCAAGAGTTAACAGATCTGTCAAGAACCGGACAGCCAAATTATGGACACTTGGGGAAATGCCTGAACAATTTTCTTTTATTTATTTATTTTTTCTGGCAAGTAGTATATTTCTGCTTTAGGTAACCATTGACATCCTTTACAAGATTGGGAGTTTCTTCCACATCATATTTGCATGAGAAAGTAAGAATCCATGCAAGGGATGGTTTCTTTGTGATGAAGAGTCTTTATGTGCGGAGATTCTACATGTTTATTGTTAGCTCAGGAGATGTGTTAAAATATTAACCAGACAGGAGATCAGGGTCATATTTCTATACGACCTTTTCTAATTTTATTTTACTTTTTGTAGGTAAAAGGTTTATTAAAGTGGCAAAATCTCCAGTATCACCATCTCTTGCATTTCCTTTTGTCGTTACTTCATCAGGGATTTCATTAGTAAGCGATGATGGAATAGAAATACCTGGACCAGAGATAAGCGCAATTCACTGTCAAGGTCTGTTATTGAGATTGATTGTATTTTTCTTATTATCTAAATGTGGAGGAGTCTTCTTCTTCTAGACAATGAAGTTAGTATATAAATGGCTTAATATGAGAGAATAAATGCTAGGAGATATCCCATTGAAAAAGAAAAGAAGGAAACAGATCTATGGCAGATTTTTATGTCTATCAGCTACTTTTGTATGTGGCATCCATATTATATGGTTGATTCCACCCTAATCCACGTTCACCAAATCCATGGCTTCACAATTTAGTTCTTATCTTAGTTCACTTGATGGTTGATTGAGATATAAAAACCTCATAGTTCACTTGATGAAAAATGCAGGATATGATGACATCTTTGACTTCAATAGGTAATGGCTTCACTGATTTGAGAGGATCATTATACAGGCAATTTGGATATATTGTTTATTGTTTCAGGTAAGAAATCTGATTATCAATGTTGAACATGCTCTCTCTAACTTCCACTGTTTGGAAGCTTGGTTCCTATGTACATTAATTATTCATCTTTTGTTCATAACATGTTAGCTTTTAGATATATCTTATATTAGATTGAAGTAAACTGCTTTAAATTGTTGAACAAGGTTGAACCGGAAGGACTGACCCATGACATGTATCAGAGCAGCGTTGAGAGCTAAAACTGCAAGAGGTGTGCTACTCATGGAGGTTACCCAAGTAGAAGATGGGTTTTTCTGTTCAAAAGGATGGCTAAGAGAACAGTTTCTGATGATGTTATTTATTGAATCCACAGTTCAACACCTCAGGGACCAGAACGATGTCCTCAATTTTGAATGGAGATCAACTGAAAGGCAATCAAGCACATTGAAAGAACTGGTTAATGATTGTTATGGTACCTTGTTAGATGCACAGTTATATTATACTTCATGGTCATGCCCTACCCGAAAGTTGGCCCAACAATTTTTCCAGACCTCTAGATTGTCTGTCAACTGGATTTCTGAAACATTCCTACGTCTGATTATCTAGGGATGCAATTTGGGTGGGCTGGGGTTGCGATTTTGTTAAACTTTGAAGGAGCCTGGCCCAGAAGCCCGGGATCAATGCAGTGTAAATTCTTCAAATCAGGTACCTGATTTGCATCCCTATCTATGATTATCTGCATGTTTAACTTCACAATTTTATGAAGTATCTCATCATCAACAAGATGGATTGAGCTGCCTTAGTGTGGGTTTCATTTTTGCATTTAAAATTTTAGTGTTCATAGGGGCATTTCAACTACAAAAAGGAGATAAGTCCTTAAAATAAGGAATGCCAAATTCAGCCTTAGACCCCTAATTCAAATAAAAACTAACTTAAGTTTACTACATGATAGTGAGTTCCAAACGAAATATGAAGGAATAGTACACCCATTTGAATCAGTGAATCTATGCATTTTGGGGTCCATACCGATATTTTGATGTAACATGTGCCAACATCCATTTAACTACATCACTTGCATTATTTACAAAAACTGATAATCGGACGATCTGAAAATAAAGAGGCAATCGAACCACTGCCATTTTGTACCGGCTGGTGAAAATCTACTTGGGCTAATATCGGGCCTATGCTTTGTTCAAATTCAAAAGACGTTATATTTAGGCCAAGTTGGGATTGAGCTAACTTTCAGCTTCTGCAACTCAAGCCTTCATAGATGGACCGGCTCGCATCCGACTGCGAATTAAATTGCCCATTCCGACCCAGTAGCTAATTATATGGGCCAACCAAGTACCGATGGTTGAAGCATAGAGTAGGATATCTCATCCAAGGATCAAAATTGTCACATATCGGTCAATATATATCGTATCAGAGCCTTTTCGATATGTCCTTATAGGGGGTTTTTTGGGTCAGTGAGTGATTCAAGGGATAGACTGGCCTTAAACCGGCCCTTCTGAATCAGTTTTGAAAAAACATAAAAAACAATACCGATACAGGCCAATACACCCTACCGATGTATCATCCTATATCGATATTTTGAACCTTGATCCCATCTTGGTAAATCAACCAGGTAATCAACATTTTGATACACGAAAGAAAGGATGCTGATTCAGTGGAAGCGGTCGCGCTGTATAAATGGTAAAACCCCCTACCGTATTCATCACTCGTTAGCCTAAAAATTGAAGAATCTCACACACATTAGGGCTCACAGGATGCATCCAGCGTGACCGCTCCCGCCTGATCATTAACGATTAACCAATATTTTAATCTATAGAACTAATCCCTACACGTGACCCACGAGCTATGGATACTCTTTACATTATGAGAGAGAGAGAGAGAGAGAGAAAATAAAGAATTCAAATGTGCGAGCTGTGCTTGGTATTGCAGTGCCGAGGATCTTACACTAACAGGAAAGCTGAAAGAAGAAGCCAAGATTGGCCCGTTTGTGTGTGAGGTCCCTTTGCCCTTTGCCTTTTCATTTTTATTTTTAATACATGATTTGATTTATTCCTTGACACGTATCCAATTAAATATCTTATATACCCAAATAATATATTTTCAAAAATGAAAAAAGAGACAGTCATGGCTTTTGTGAATCATCCACCAGCCTGAATTTACTTTAAAATAAACAACAATAAAAAAAAAAACTATATTTGTGTCTGACCTGGTTTTGAGGTTTTGACATCTAATATAAATATTAATTAGGTTTAATCAACTTCACTAATTAAAACTTATCTTCTGATTAAACCTTTTCCGTTTATATATAAACTAAAACATTTTGGACTTTGGGCATCTTAATCTCCTCGAAGCTTTATGCTCACACAAACAGCAAAGGAATTTGGTACTAGGAACCATTTGGGCTTTATAATATTGCCTTAGTGGCGTTGCATCTCGTGGCCAAATTCCACAACTTGTTCTTATTTTAATCTGCAACTCTCTAATGCGCAACTATTTTTCCTGTTACAGCAGCAGCAAGTGGGGGATTAGAGATTTTGAGTTCCCGGCCTACCCATTAGGCATTAGCTGTCTCACCTTGCACCTAACTACCAATTATGCTGTCTCCGCTCCCTAAGACATTATCTCCCATGCATCAATCTCCACCGTCCGATCCATCCATCCGTTCCCTTCTGGATTAGCTCAATGATCCAAGTGGTGGTTATGGGATGCTTATAGAAACAGTTGAGTGCTGGGCAACTTATCCTTTAAAAATTCCACAAATTGAATGGTTTAGAGTCTGCCCACGACACACCCAAAATTCGAGGCGGCTAAGAGTGATTTCTGAAATTTGAGGCAGCAATTGATTAATTAATAATCAGATTTGAATTTGGTTATATATCAGTAATTATCAAAGACTTAAAAAAAAAATAAATAAATAAATGTTTGGCTTGACTTTCCTTGTATGGAGAGGAAGCGTCCACGTCTCCCAAGGCGTAAACCTCGTACACCCTGCCGACAGTACACCGAAAAGGAAACCCTAACCCTCCAGAAGCGGAAAAAACAGAGGAAACAAAACATTATTATATACATCTGGTGCCACGAAACCATCCCGTAGTCCCAATTGTGGGCCCCACCGGCATGGAACGCGTCAGATAACATCAACTATAAAATGGGAAAGTGAAAAATCCACGTGGATTCAGCACCTAGCAATTAACCACGTGGCAAAATAAAAGGTCATGATGGACGGTTGGACATGTCTTGTGTGAGTCCCCAGTCTCCAATCATTATACTGCAGAGTCACAGAGTGCATATGCCTTCTCTCTATCTCTCTCATCTATATATTTTTGTTGCCTTAAATGTCCTTTCCATCTCATCAAAATACCGAAAATACCCATATCAGTTTTGGAGTGTTTCACGTGGCAGCAGATATTTTGCTTTGTAGGGAGGGAGCATGAGCATCAGCCAATGCATTGGCAATTTGGCAGCAACGGCAGCACCACGAGTCCACGACTCCTGGCCGGCCACCACCATCCGGTTCAATCAGAAAAAGACAACTAAGCATCCCACTCAAATATTCATGAATCCTGAATAACTTTTTGTCATTTTGTGATTACCCATGCATCCTGCTTGCTCTCACCATTTAACATTTTTCCCTCACTTAGATTACCCAAACTACCCTTGTCTTTTTTTCTTCTTCTAAATAAGTGTCCGTTTGGGAGGACTTTTAAGCAGTGATTTTTGGTGTTTATATGAGCTGAGAAACCCGAAGAATTAGTTGAACCATGTTTAGCCAAAAACTAGAAAGCTAAAAAAAATCGACTTTCCAATGTATGACACTGGTAAGTATAGGAATCAGACACAATTCAAGAGATATATGTGTATCATAGGTACAAATTTTACAAAATAAAATAGGGTAAACCATAATTTTCACAAGATTTAATTATAAAAGATAGTGCTTAACAGCTCCTTCCACAGTCTCTTTGATCGAGTACAATTGAACCGGATGATAAAGACCATTCCAGTTTGAGTTTTGTCCCAAAGTCTGGTAACACCATTGAATGTATTTGATATTTCAAGTTTCAACCAAGAAATATTCAATTGGGTTGAGGGCATTTTAGTAACATCATGTGGCAAATAGGATAGCCGCCCAACGGAGAGAGGGAGAGAGAGAGAGAGATAGATTTATGTAGTTAAGGTGGGCTGCTTTCCTAGGTTCTATATATTTAATTTGTCAATAATTCAATTAATTAATAAAAGTGACCTTTACTTACTTTGTAATAGTTTTTGTATAATAAAACAAAATGCACCAGATGTTGGGCCGAGAGCTCAAGATCCGTTTCTATCTATTTACAGTCATGGTGGGGCCTGTTCCTCTATATTCCCCCTAAAAAGTATGAATACAACAACAAAGCAAATCAAAGATGAATAAACTGTAGAATAAGATTGAGTAAATACTGCGTAAATTGGTGCAATTTTCATTGATTATTATAGGTTTTTATCACTAAGTATTGATTTCCCTTTTTATGGATCGACCCCAGCATTCATTATCACATGCATACGTCCACAACTTTTGGAGATAGAGAAAACGAAAAGATTCGAGGTTAAAGGACACGTGGCAACCTGCTACTGAAATGATGGATGAGGTTGGCAGGTTGCCTTTAATGGGAAAGAGATAACAGGATAAAGGGGCTTATGTGGCACTGAAGGGTTACCGTAAGAGGAAAAGTTCTATGTGAGGATGGACGGTGGATATTGTATTTCCCGTGATATATATTTATCATTTTTTTTTCTATCGAAGAAGGGACGTCTTTTGTTTTATTGGGTGGACTTTAATGGCAGGATGACGTGGCGTGTGTGCGTGACTTTTACGATGATGACTTCTACCACCTGAACTGAAATGTGTAAATTAAGGTTTCTTTAGCGATTAGCGACCATTCATCCATTAGTTTTTTTACTTTCTTTCTAATTTCTTTTCAACTTTTATTTGAAAGGAAACTACTCATATACAGTGGTCGTATTGATGATTACGCAACCGCTTACATCGATGACTCTCTATTATTTCCTTCTATTCAAATTTTCGAAAAAAGAAAAAAAAAATCTGATCTTCTTTTAACTCCTTGCATCCACAAGTAATGCAATTAATATGTGGCTTGATTTATTATATAAATCGTTTAAGAGGTCTGTTTTTTTGTACACGTGGCAAAATTTAAATCGTTTGCTGCTCTCCTCCACCAATCTCCATGTGCTTCTCAAGATATTACCGATGACCAACGGAGGTTGACTTTCCTCTAAATGCATTAAATTGTGAGTTTGACATGAATGAAATTGCGATTTTGGCCAAGTTTGAGAGTGCCTATTTAGAAATTTTTGGTGAAAAATCGATAGTATTTTTAAAATGATGGAGCGTCCCTATTCCAACTAGTTCGCAGGGTGGATAGATTTATTCTGTGTATCGAATGTATCAATATTTTCAACCTTATCAATAACTATTTATTTTGGATTTATTTTCTAAATGAAAATACAAATAAGTACTTATTGGTGTGGTTTCGATTTAAAACAAGTGTTTATTCAAATAAGTACTTATTTTTAAGTATTTTCAAATTTAGTCTTAAAGTCGCTTTAGGATTGAGTTACTTTGGTTGATACATTTTGAAGAAACTTTTAAGGTGTTTGACACTTGAGAGGGCCAAGACATTAAACTTCGACCTATCCTTAGGCTGTGTTTGGTTGCATTGCAAATTTATTTAAACTGATACAAAACTATGACAGTGCAAATGTTTTGGGTGTTAGGAACAGATTGGGCCTCTTTAA